TGTCCCGAATCCTATTACCTTCGTAGGAGAGAGAAAAAAAAATCATAAAATAAAAATAAAAATAAAATAGAATAAAACTAATCTCGTGGCACATCTCAATCGTTCCCCCCCCCCAAAAAAAAAAAATAATAATAATAATAATAATAATAAATAAATAAATAAATAAAAAACTAATCTCGTGGCACATCGCAATCTCCCCTCCCCCTCCTCCTCCCCCCCTCCTACCATCCCCCCCCCAAAAAAAAAAATGATTTTCCTTCTCATGGGGGGGGTGGGGTGAGGGACAAAAAAAAAAGTATTAAAGAAATGCCTCTTATCTCGCCCGGCATGCTGTTTTGACTGAAGGGTAAACAGTGTCGGTATATCGGCGCGCAAAGTGGATCCGGTACATATTCTCGTTGATGTCCGCGACTTTGATATGTGGTAGAGAGGGAATGAGGTAGAGTGAGAGGGGGGGGAGGGAGGGTAAAAGGGGGGGGAGGGAGGGTAAAGGGGGGGGAGGGAGGGTAAAGGGGGAAGAAGAGAGTGGGGGGAAAGGTGGAGAGAGGAGGGAGAGGGAGACGGAGACGGAGAGGGAGGGGAAGGGGAGGGAGAGGGAGGGTAAGGCAGAAGGTGGAGAGAGGAGGGAGGGGAGGGGGAGGGAGGGAAGAGAATAAGGTCAACAGAGGGGAATAAGGAGGAGAGAGAGGTGAGAGAAAGTGAGGTAAAGTGGGAGAAGGAGAGAAAGGGGAAAATAGGGGAGAGGAGAATTAGGGAAGGGAAAGAGGGGGCGAGGGAGGGTAAGGGAAGGCTGGGGAAAAGGCAGAGAGGGGGGGGGAAGGGGCAGGGAGATAAGGGAAAAAGAGGGGGGGGGGGAATGGGAATACGAGGGAAAAGGAAAGAGAGAAACATAGACAGAAAAAAAAAACACTGACATATAGTTAAACCGAAGAAAAAAAGAGAAAGAAAGAGAGAGAGAAAAGAAACAGAAACACATCACACTTTTCCTATGAATCCCCTATACACCTCTTTCTTCCGTTCTCTTCTCTATCCACCTTCTTCAATCCTTCTCTCCTATCTATCCACATCCACCTCCACCTCCCTTTTAAGCACCGTAGATGCACCAACATCTCTCGCTGTATCGGCAAGGCGGTCCAACCATAACAAAGGTATTGGATAGAATCATGCGTATGTATTCGGTCCTCGGTAAGAGAGGTTTATTCCGCGCTTGTTATTCTTTCTTGTGTTATTTCTCTCTTTTCTTGTTCTCTTGTTATCTTTTTCTCTTTCTTTCTCTTTTTCTCTTTCTCTCTCTCTCTCTTTCTCTCTTTTTTTTCTTTCACTCTCTTCCTCTTTCACTCTTTTTCTTTTTTACTCTCTTTCTCTTTCACTTTCTTTCTCTTTCACTTTCTTTCTCTTTCACTCGCTTTCTCTTTCACTCTTTTTCTCTTTCTCTCTCTTTCTCTTTCACTCTCTTTCTCTCACTCTATTTCTCTCTCTTTCTCTTCTCTTCTTTTCTCTTCTCTTCTCTCTTTCTTTCTTTTCTTTTTATGTGAAGTGTCGAAGTGATCCATAGTGGATGAGTGAATGTGTAGAGATATGTATATTGCATAATTTACATGCATTATGTACACACATGGCTATCGACATTCTTGCCTATTGCCATGTATACCATTGTAAACTAATCCCGCTATGTATACACATACGTACACATACTTAGCAAATTATCCAATACACATATTCCCTAATTTCCCCCTTGCTCCCCCCCCCCACCACCAAACATGCACCTACAATCTCTCCCCCTCTCCCCCTCTTTTCCCCTTTTCTTCCCCTTCTCCCCTCTCCCCCCTCTTTTCCCCTTTTCTTCCCCTTCTCTCCTCTCCCCCTCTTCTCCCCTTTTCTTCCCCTTCTCTCCTCTCCCCCTCTTCTCCCCTTTTCTCCCTTCCTTTCCTCTCTCTTCTCTCTCTTCTCCCTCTCCTCTCTCCCCCTCTTCTCCTTTCTCCTCTCCTCTCCCCCTCTTCTCCCCTTTTCTCCCCTTCCTTTCCTCTCTCTTCTCTCTCTTCTCCCTCTCCTCTCTCCCCCTCTTCTCCTTTCTCCTCTCCTCTCCCCCTCTTCTCCCCTTTCCTTCTCCCCTTTTCTCCCCTTCCTTTCCTCTCTCTTCTCTCTCTTCTCCCTCTCCTCTCTCCCCCTCTTCTCCTTTCTCCTCTCCTCTCCCCCTCTTCTCCCCTTCCCCCCCCCTCTTCTTCTATCTCTTCTTTCTCATTTCCCTCTTCTCCCCTCTTATGCCTCTCCTCCTCTCTCTCCCCCTCTGCTCTCTTCTCTCTCCCTCTCCTCTCCTCTCCTCTCTTCTCTCCTCTCCTCTCCTCTCTCCCCCTATCCTCTCTTCTCTTTCCCTCTCCTCTCCTCTCTCCTCTCCTCTCTCCTCTCCTCTCTTCTCTCCTCTCCTCTCCTCTCTCCCCCTATCCTCTCTTCTCTTTCCCTCTCCTCTCCTCTCTCCTCTCCTCTCTCCTCCTCTTCTCCCTCTCCTCCCCTCTCCCTGCCCTTCTGACCCGCCCACGAAGCCCAACCTCCCAAAAACAAACACAGAGACACAAGACGAAACACAACAACAATAACAATAACAACCATAAACAAACAACCACCACAACCACACCTACCACCCTACTACCACAAACAAGCACAAGCACAACCACAAACCACCACACCAACTACACCAACCACAACCACAACAACCACAAACACAAACAACCACAACCACCACACCTACCACCTTACTACCACAAACAACCACAACCACAAGGTGGTAGACCTTACTACCACAAACAACCACAACCACACCTACCACAAACAACCACAACCACACCTACCACCCTATTACCACAAACAACCACAACCACCACCACAAACAACCACAACCACCACACCAACCGCCACAACCCCAACAGTAGCAGCAGTCACCACCCAGCCCGGCCGCGGTCGAACGGACGGACCTTGGCTCCAAGTTCGACCATAACTAACAATTATGGCACCGACGCTGAGTGACAGGTGGTCGGCTGCGGATGGGAGCGATTCATGGTGCCATAGTCAGGGGGGGGAGGGGGGAGGGGAGGGATGGGGGGGAGGGACGGGGGAGGTGAGGGAGGGGGAGGGGAGGGATGGGGGGGGGTTACAGTGGTGAGGTGAGAGAGTGAGGTGAGAGAGGGAGGAAGGGGAAGGGGTGAGGGACAGGGTGGGGTAGGGGGTGGGGGAAGGAGGAGGTGGAGGGAGGAAGGTAAAGGGTGAGGGGGTGAGGGAGGGGGGTGAGGGAGGGAGAAGGAGGGGGTGGGGGTGAGGGAAGAGAGGGAGGTAGAAGGGTGCGGGGAGGGAGGAGGTGAGGGTGAGGGAGGAGGAGGGGGTGGATGGGGGAGGGTGGAGACGAGGGGAGGAAGGTGAGGGAGGAGGTGGAAATGAGGGAGGTAGGAAGGAACAGAGAGTAAAGAGACGAGGATAGGGAGGAAGTGACAGGGAGAAGAGGGAGAACAGAGAAGGGAGGAACGAGAAGAGGGAGGATAGGGTAGGGGGAAAGGAAGGTAATTGGGCAAGGGATGAGGATGAGGGAGAGACAGAAGTAGTGAAAGAGGGAGCAGAAGCACTAAGGGAGAGAGAGAGATAGGGAGAGGGAGAAGAGATACTCAAGGGAAGAGAAGGAAGGGAAGGGGAAGGTAGGGGGGAGGGAGAGGGATGTGGTGAGGGAGAGGCACTGAAGGAGAAAAAGAGATGAGAGAGAGAAGCTTAAGGAGAGAGAGAGATTGAGGGAGAAGAAAGGGAGAGATATGAGACAAGAGAAACCAATGAAAGGGGGGTAGGGTAGAGCGGGGTGACAGGGAGGAAGAGGGAGAAGAAGAGGAAAGAGAGAGACACCAAGGGAGCTAAAGGGAAGGAGAGGGAGAAGAAGACCAAATGGAGAAACCCCAAGAGAACCAAAGGGAGGAAGAGGGAGAAGAGGAGGAAAGGGAGATATACCAAAGGGAGGAAGAGG